CATAATCTATAACGACTTTACTACCAATTTATTATTAATAATATTAATTAATTAAATATAACTCGGATATTTTATAAAATTAATTTTCATAAAATTATTTACTATTTTTAAAATTTAAAAAAACATAAAATAACACTAACAACCTTAAAAAATATATGTATATATCTCAATAAATTACACAAAATCAAAATAAATAATTTAAAAATAAACTAAAATTATTAATTTAAATAAATATATAACATGATATACCCTATAGCGACTTTATGTAACGTAGTAAGTTATTTCAGAAGGCCCAAAAGCCCAATATGGGTGATTTAGTAGCCCAGAATGGGCCGTTCCCAATCTGGAACGGGCCGTTCCCAATCTGGAACGGGCCGTTCCAAACTACTAAATTGACCTGTAAATCATAGTTGAGAACGGGCCGTTCTAGATGGAGAACGGGCCGTTCTGGATGAGTCCCAGAACGGGCTGTTCTGGTTTCAGAACGGGTCGTTCTGCATATGATTTTTGTATGTGATGAAGGGGTGCTGAACGGGCCGTTCCAGATTCGGAACAGGCCGTTCTGGACACTCCTGAACTTCTATAAATAGGGGTTGTGTGGTTGAGGAGAAAGTGAAGTTTTTAGAGAGAAGTTTTCGAGAGAAGCACTCTAGGTCTGTGAGCTCTTTTCTCTCCCAAATTTCTCTGTATGATTCCTTTTCTCCTCTAGATCACTAATGCCTTCTGTCTTTTCTTGAAATTCAGATTAGGAAGTTTGCTTTGGGGGATTGAAGTTCCAGGGTTGAGCTTCGGAAGGGAATTCTACTTCTTCTCAATTATTGGCTATTTTGAGCCAATCTTCAGGCGAGGGAAGCTAGAATGTTTGTTGTTTAAGTTGCATGTGAGTTTAGAAACTCAATTGATGCATGAAAGTTGAGGATCCATGGTTGGATCGGAGAATTCGCTCATTTTTTTGGGTTTTGGGAAAAATGGGGTTTTTGGTGAATTTGATGCATCAAATAGGTGCATGTTGATTTTGAGTTTGTTTTATGTTGTATGGAGCCTATGCATTGTGTTTTTGTGTTTGCATGTGGTTGAATGTTGGGTCAGGCGTGATTTGGTTGCTTCAGGCATGGAGACTCTTAGGAGTCTCTGTCTCAAGGACACCAAGCGTGAGTTGAACGCGCCAGGCGTTGATGAGTTTTAAAACTCTCTGGTTGGGATTAGGCTGGGCGAGCTCAAGCTGCGCCGGGCGTGAATATGTTTATGAATGAAATGATGCTAATTCATGTTAAGTTGAAGTTTTGGATCATGTATGTATGATTCATTATTGCATGTGATGTCTTATGACATGTGTATGATTATTGATCATAATGGTGGGTAGACCATATATGATGTATGATGCATTATTGCATGTGATGTCTTGTGACATGTGTATGATTGTTGATCATGATGGTGGGCAGACCATGTATGATGTATGATGCATAATTGCATGTGATGCCTTATGGCATGAGTCTAGCCTAGGACTTGAGGAGAGGAAAAATATTTTCGAACTGGAAGAGATCACATAGAGTTTCTTGAGAGTGGTGCTTGGATAGGCCACTGATATATGAGAGTGGTGCTCAGGTAGGCCACTGGATTTGGGAGAGTGGTGCTCAGGTAGGCCACTGGGTTGGGTGAGTCTCCTCTAAGTCCTTAGCTAGTGTTGGAGCGGGGTATGAGGTCGAGGGTTATTCCCTTAACCAAGTACTCGGGAAGGTGCGTGGATCCTTGCGGATAGTCGGTGGGCGAACTCCACAATTGACTTGGTTAATGCATGCCAAGGTCGTGGTAAGCCCGTACCCAGCTGTGCTATACCTGACGGTGGATCTGGACTTCCAATCGTGTAAGTGACATCATCCGAGTAAACCCGAGTGAGGATTATATCCTGTTTAGCTGTGACTGAGCAGGCACATTGGGCATGAAAACGGTTGGGATGGTTTCGGTAGGATGGGATGTCACTTATACAGCTCTGTTGTTAGGGAGATCTCCTAGGTGTATGCTTGACGACGTATTAGATGATTGATATGCATTGATATCTGTCATGAGATGCATTTATTGCATGATTATTAATATGATGAAGTATGGTGTTTGACTTCATGATTGGTGGATTGTATTTTATGCATGAGTAGTATTGGATAGTGATGGAGCCTTCATAGGAAGATACTCCATGATGCTTGAACACCTCTCCACGGTTCCTTGTTGATTGATGCAAGGAGAGAAACTAGAGTGGAGAAGCAAGGGTAGCCTAGCTTGATCTTCCAATTTCGGATAGAAGAATGCTAGCCTAGCTCTACAAAGAGAGAAGCTCAAGTAGAGAAGGAGAAAGGAACTTCTAGAGTGACTTCGGTGGGAGAGAATTTTCAAAGAAATGAATTCTCATAAATTGCCAAAGTCATTACAAGTTCGGTCAAAGTGAATTTATAGGGATAGGAAGTGTGGTGAACAAGCTAGGCTTAACCCAAGGTTAAGTTAAACCATGGTACGGTTTAACTAACCTTAAGCGCCAAAATTTGAATGTTTAAATTCAAATTTTGGTGCCAAGTCCGGTCACCCCATGTGCCTCCTAATTTGCATGTGATTTGATATTCATTTAGGAGTAATTTCGGTCACCCCATGTGCATGAGTGCACATGGCCGAAATGCCTACTAAATATAATACTAATTACATGCAAATTGAAATGCACATGACAACCTAAATTAACCCTAAATTCAAATGGAAATGAAATGAAATTCCTAATCTAGGTGGCCAAAATACAAGGCCCAAAATACAATACAAGCCCAATGGGCCCAAACCTAATCTACATGGGCTTGAGTTAAAGCCCAACTAAAAAGTACTATGGACTTCTCTTGAGTATTGGCCCATTCTTCATGCATCCTCTTGGCCATAATCCTAGTAGTTGGGCCCTTGGCCCATGGGCCTCCATCAGGTAGAGCGTATGGTGTAACTCTATGAACATGATTAATAGTTGGATGATGTATAGTATAGATTTTATTCTGTACTTGTATGATTGGTTTTGATCTCTAGCTTACCCTTTTGTTTCCATGTGGTGGGATTGCGATGATCATACTTGGTATGGGAGCAGGTCAGGGCTAGCTTGGAGTTGAGGTGACCGCTGCGAGACGGGGAGTTTGATCCTCTTGTTAGAGTTACCATTTTGGGTAACGATTTTGTCTGTGCTTGACCGGCACTAGGGAATATTATTTTTAGGATGACTGTACATATATGGTGTTCTATTTTGTATTTAAGAAACCTAGTTATTTTAGTCTTATCTATACATGTATGTATGAGTTATCTAGCTTAATATTTCTTTTAGTTCACTAGCAATAGTGCGATTCCACCAAGTGTAGAGACCATGGCGGGTCGTTACACTTTACAATTATAACAAAAAAAAATTAAAAACTTAAAATAATAAATACCTGAGATGAAGAAATCCAGCCAGAAATCCAAATAAATCAACAATAATCTGAAAAAATTAAAAATATAACAGTTATAACTAACTTCAAATAAATAATATTAATTAATTAAATTTAACTGGAATATTTTATAAAATTAATTTTCAAATAATTATTTACTATTTTTTTTACGAAAATTAATTTTATAAACAATATTATTTCAATAGTATTCTTTACAATTATCAAATATTAATAATTATCATATAAATTTTATGTTAACACTATTTTAAAAATATAAATAAACATAAATAAATAAAGTGATATAAAAATAACTAATATAACACTAACAACCTTAAAATAAAATATTAATATAAATAAATCACTCATAATAAAATTAAATATTTTTTAACAGATTAATTATTTTTATTAATTTAATTAATTAAGATGACATAATCTATAGCGATTTCACTACCAATTTAATATTAATAATTTTAAATAATTATATTTAACTGGGATAATTTATAAAATTAATTTTCATTAAATTATTTACTATTTTTAAAATACAAAAAAACATAAAATAACACTAACAACCTTAAAAAATATATCTATATACATCAATAAAAAACACAAAATCAAAATAAATAATTTAAAATAAAATAAAATTATCAATTAAAATAAATATATAAAATGATATATCCTATAGCAACTTTATAATTTAATATTAATAATTTTAAATAATTATATTTAACTAGGATAATTTTATAAAATTAATTTTCATTAAATTATTTACTATTTTTAAAATATAAAAAAACATAATTCATGGGCAACGTCAGCCCGACACCCAAATAGATCATGACTGATCTCAGGTCCAAGGCCCAATGAAACCCTTATTCACACAAAGGTACGTGCATTATTTATACGAGACTCATACATCCACAAACACTAACTTTAGCATCGGAGTCTCTTTTGCAAGTACCACCCCCACCTTGAAACAGCAAGCGTACCCAGCGAAGGAGGCTCACTGATCTTACTCAGCATATCGTCCCTACGACCGATCTTTGTTAAGAACATTTGGCGCCCACCGTGGGGCCGATCAAGAAAGCTCTTATCGGCTACGCTTATGGTTTTCACCCGAAGTCATAGTAGACGAGCAACAGACGACGTTGATCGCACGACAAACATGGACAGCGAAGCAGCATTGAGAAGACTGATCGACTAGGTTGAACAGATGCGGCAGCAGCACGCTGTCGACCTGCAAAGTATTCGTGCCAAGCACGAAACCGACCTAGCAGCGCTGCCGCCGCGAACGAGACTGACCTAGCAGCGTTGTGCGTCGAGAATGAGCGTATTCGCGCCCAGCTTCCTCGACACCCTTCTGATCAACCCCCTCAACCGAGTAACCAACAGGAGGAAGAGGTGCACTTGGTTTCTCAACCACCAACTGCACCTAGGGCACCGACTCCCAGGCCTGCCACACATCGGTCGCACGCATCGACGAATAGGTCGGCCCACGAAGTCAGCAATGCTCTTGACCAGGCTCCTAGAAATCGGACGAGCATTCGTCGCCACCCTTTTGTGGACGACATCATGGAGACGCCTCTACCTTTTGGCTGGAAGCCCCTCCACCTCGACCGTTATGACGACACTACTGACCCAGACGAGCACATTGACCTATACGTCACACAGGTAAACCTATACACTAATGACGATGCTATTCTGCTTAGGGTTTTTTGGACCTCGCTCACGGGTGCAGCACTCGCCTGGTATACCCAACTGCCGGCAGGATCAATCGACAACTTTGACACCCTGGTCCGACGATTTACGGCACAGTATGCAACGAGCCGACCTCATCACGTTACATCAGCCGCTCTGGCCAGTCTCAGACAGAGTAATGACGAACCACTGAGGACGTTTATGGAGCGCTTTGCCAGCATCTCAGTTAAGATTCAAAATTTGAATCTCGAGGTCGCCCTACACGCCATGCTCATGGCGCTCAAGTTTGGACCTTTCGTGGACAGCTTGTGCCGACAAGCTCCCCTTGACATGGATGAACTCCGTGCCCGAGCCGCAGGGTACATCCAGATGGAAGAGCACTCCGCTTTCCGTGACCAGGTTCGTGGAAAAACACAGGCAAAGCCATATCATGGTCACAAAGACAAGATGAAAGTCACCAATGACATCCAGTTCAAGAAGGCAGCTAGGGCAAATAAAGGGGGAAGGTACGACTTTTACACCCCCCTGAGTGCGCCCCGAGTACACATCCTGGAGGAAGCCAGCAACAACAACTTGCTCACTCTGCCACCACCCGGGCATAGTCCCAATAACGCAGATAGGTCAAAGCACTGCAGGTACCACAGAAACCACGGTCACACCACCGAGGAATGTCGCACACTCAGAGATCGTATAGAGGAACTCGTCCAGGCGGGTCACCTCGGGCAATACGTCCAACGATAGTAGGGTCACCGAGGAGGCTACAACGGACGAGGACGAGGGCGAGGTCGCAGTTCGGCCACCCGCACAGACCAACCCTCTGGATCTCAACAAAACACTGGTGGCGCAGTGCAGGCCGAGGTAAGCCAAGAAACAGGGTCAGCTCCCTTGCGGGGAGTTATCAACACAATTGTAGGTGGTTTCGCAGGGGGAGGCTCCAGCAGCTTGGCGCGAAAAAGACACCTGTGCAGCATCAACAATGTACACTTTGCTACCTCGGCCTCGCACCAAAGCTCACCACCGATCACCTTCACCGACGACGACTACACTGGCGTCTGTCCAAATCAAGATGACCTAATGGTCATCGCTATGGAGGTCGCCAACTGGGAGGTCCACAAGACACTGATCGACCAAGGCAACTCGGCTGACGTCCTATACTGGCCGACGTTCCTCAGGTTAGACATCCCTCACTCCCTCATCCAACCTCACACAGAACCCCTAGTCAGTTTTGCAGGAGAGCGAGTTCACACTCGAGGGTATGTGGACCTGCTGACAACCTTCGGGACCTCTCCTGACTAAAGGTGGATCATGGTCCGATACCTCCTTGTGGAAGCCAACACGTCTTACAACATACTCATTGGAAGGTCGACGTTGAACAAACTCAGGGCAATGGTGTCTACCCCGCACCTCACCATGAAATTCTAAGGGAGTGGTGGAAAGGTCATCTCCATCAGGGTGAACTAGAAGACAGCTCGGCAATGCTACGCCGAAAGTTTGCAGGTCTCACCATCCGAGGAGCGCCACAAAAGTGACCCCCCTATAGTGGCTCATATCGCCCACGTGGACATCGCTGACCTAGATCCGAGGTCGGACTCCCATGAGGAACGGCCGAGTCCCATTGATGAGCTCGATGACCTCCAGATCGGCAAACTCCCTGGATAGTGCACCAAAATAAGCAGGCAATTAAGCCCGAAGTTACGGCAACAGCTTGAAGCTGAAATCTCCAAGAACGCCGACCTCTTTGCATGGTCCAATGCCGACATGCCAAGTATAGATGTTAACTTTATCTGTCACAGGCTGGCAATTCACAAGGAGGCAAAAATAGTGGCCTAGAGGAAGAGGAAGGTTGGAAGACAGAGGCGAGAGGCCATCATCACCGAGACGCAAAAGCTACTGAACGCGGGCTTCATCCGCGAGGTCAGATACACCACGTGGCTTGCAAACGTGGTACTGGTGAAGAAGAGCTCAAAGAAGTGGCGCATGTGCGTCGACTACACCGATCTGAAGAAAGCATGCCCCAAGGACTCGTATCCCTTACCGAGCATCGACAGACTGGTCGATGGACCATCTGGGCACGCCCTCCTCAGCTTTCACGATGCTTACTCCGGATACAACCAGATCATGATGTACCCACCAGACGAGGTGCACACGTCGTTCATCACCAACCACGCCAATTTTTGCTACCAAGTGATGCCATTCGGTCTAAAAAATGTAGGGGCCACTTACTAGCGACTGATGGACAAAGTTTTACACCAACAGATTAGGCAGAACATGGAGGTTTACGTCGGCAACATGGTGGTCAAAGCCACTTCGACCGAAGGTCATGCTGTCGACCTGGCCGAGGTATTCAGCCAGATCAGAAAACACAACATGCGCCTCAACCCAGAGAAGTGCGTCTTCGGCGTCCAGGGAGGTAAATTCTTTGGTTTCATGATCACTAGCAGGGGGATTGAGGCCAACCCGGAGAAGTGCAAAGCCATAATCCAGATGCAAAGCCCTCAGACTGTGAAAGAAGTCCAACGCCTGGTAGGAAGGTTGGTTTCCCTCTCCCGTTTTATCCCCAGGTTAGTGGAGAAGGCAGGGCCCATCTTCACCCTGCTGCGAAAGCCAAAGAACTTCGAGTGGACGAACCAATGTGAAGAAGCTTTCAAGAGCTTCAAAGTCTTCCTCACAACTCCACCGGTCCTCCAGAGGCCAGATCACCGCTCCGACCTCCTCCTCTACCTAGCTGTGGCAGAAAGCGCAATCAGCACGGTCATAGTCCAAGAGAACCAGAAGGTGCAAACGCCGATCTACTTCATCAGCCGAGTCCTTCAAGACACGGAAAGACGGTATCAGATGATTGAGAAGCTCGCGCTGGCGCTTGTCACTGCAGTTCGGCGTCTCCGACCATACTTTCAAAGTCACCAGGTGGTCGTCAAAACTGACTACCCGATCAGGAAAATCCTAAGGAAGCCAGAGCTCGCTGGACGGATGATAGCTTGGTCTGTAGAACTGTCTGAATTCGGTATCAAGTATGAAAGTCGTGGCCCCCTCAAAGCCTAATGCCTGGCAGATTTTGTGGCTGAACTGACTCCAACATCGGCCGACAAACAACAGGTATGGACTTTACATGTTGATGGGTCCTCTAATTCTAAAGGTGGTGGTGCAGGTATTATTTTGGAAGGGCCAAATCAGGTCACCTTGGAGCAATCTCTCAAGTTTGGCTTCAAAGTGACAAACAACCAGGCGGAATACGAAGCGCTTCTCGCAGGGCTAAGGTTAGCTCACGACCTCGGAGTGCGGAGAGTGAGTTGCAACAATGACTCAAAGCTCATGGTAGAGCAGCTCAGTAGGGCATACCAAACCAAAGACACCCTTCTATAAAGATACTTTCATGTGGCATCACAGCAGCTCTCGTCCTTCGACGAGTTCAAAATTCATCATGTACCATGAGAACAAAATGCCAAAGCTGACCTCCTATCGAAGCTCGCCAGTACCAAACGTCCTGGGCAACATCGAACCATCATCTAGGAGACCCTGCACTCACCTAGCTTAGACGACAAGGTCGTCAACACTAGTGACAACGGAGACCTCGGATGGATGACAGGTATTTGGAATTACTTAAAATGGATAATAATCGCTGAGTTTGCTTTGTGACTGATTCCAGTGAAAATTCTTCTCGGCCATTAGGAGATGTCAAGTATGCCAAACATTTTGTTACATCTCCCTACATATAGAACAAATCAAATAAATAATTTATAACTTTATATTTTTCCAAAAAAATGTATTAAAATTTAATTACTAATGTGCGCATACCATAATTGAGTCTTTAATTTCTTCCGGATCAATGTACAACTTCCCTTTTCTACGGTACCACCTCATGTATTCTGAATTTGGACCTAATAGTCTGACCTGTGAAGGAGTAGGTGCAAAGTGATATGCATATCGATTTCCCCAGTGCTCTAGTGCTGCACTTAATATTATAGCCCAATCATCTTCAGCCTTACCGCTTAGGGTCAATGCATGCACATTAGCAGGAGTCATCGGAGGATTTGGAATTGGTTGTTGACAACCAAATTGCCTCATCACCCTATCTGGCTGATGCCATTCACAAATACATAGGGAAAGTAATGGGATTACAGAACCCCAAATACGGATCCCCTGTGTGCAGTCACCGTGCATCTGTTCAATAGGCGGATATGGTTGCCAAATAATCTGTAAAATTTATTTTTTAATTAGTATATATTAAAATACAAATAATTTAGATAATTTATTTATAAAACCCCAAAATGTAAATTACTTACAGATTTCCTAGTAGTACGATCAAAGTATTTGCGATAAAATTTAATATCATCGCTCATACTTATTTTTGTGGCTGTGTTTGACCACCTGAAATTTTTTTTTTGTAAACAATTAAATTATGTTAAATTAATTGATTAATTGTCAAAATTTAAACTTTCAAATTTGTCATTCCTTAAACCAATAGGAATGCCTGGAGGAATAGGTGGCAATGGTGAAGAGAGAATGGTTGGGAATCATTCCCATGCCCATAGTTGTAATAAAAGTGTAAATCCACCACAATTTGGGGTTTTGTAATCAGTTGAGGTGCATAAATTGCGATACAAACATCCAAGCACAGTTGCACCCCATGCATATGTCCTTGTAATTTGAAAGTCGCATGAAAACACCAACCACCTTAATGACACAAAGCAGGAAGATGTATCGGGAACAAGCAGTCCTCCTAGAAAATGTAATATCCAGGCTCTAGCATAATGAAGCAGCTGATCTACATCATTTATCTCATCGGCAATGTCATTAAAGTTTGCTACCAACCAAGATAACTTCACGCGATGTCCTTTAACTTCAGACTACGCTGGAACAACCCCTAACAACTCCTCAGCTGAATAAAATAAAACAAAATATTTAACAATTATTAATATTATAATAAATATATACTATAAAATCTTCTCGGCCATTAGGAGATGTCAAGTATGCCAAACATTTTGTTACATCTCCCTACATATAGAACAAATCAAATAAATAATTTATAACTTTATATTTTTCCAAAAAAATGTATTAAAATTTAATTACTAATGTGCGCATACCATAATTGAGTCTTTAATTTCTTCCGGATCAATGTACAACTTCAAGCACGCTCAACGGCGACCAGAGTACTCCGAGCTGGGTATTACTAGCCCACATTGAAGTCGGACTGCCAAGCCTACGTACAAAAATGCAAGGAGTGCTAGCAGTTCGGCAACACACATCGGCAACCGCCAGAAGCTCTCCACCAGATGATGTCGTCGTGGCCTTTTGCCTAGTGGGGAATGGACATCCTCGGACCATTCCCCCCCGTAAAGGGTCAACTCAAATTCCTCATAGTGGCAATCGACTACTTCACCAAGTGGATCGAGGCATGCCCACTCACCAAGATCACCACTGAGAACGTACAAAAGTTCACCTGGAAGAGTATTATATGCAGGTTTGGTATTCCACATTCCCTGGTCATTGACAATGGCAGACAGTTCATTGCGTAGAGTTTCGAAGACTTCCTCCATGAACTCGGAGTCAAACACCTCCCGACCTCAGTGGAACATCCACAGACCAATGGCCAAGCCGAAGTTGCAAACAAGGTGATACTCCGAGAGCTCAAGAAGCGGTTAGGAAGCCCCAAAGGACAATGGGCCGACGAGCTCCCCAGCATCCTCTAGGCGTACCATTTCACCCCCCAATCAACGACGCGGGAAACGTGATGGAATCAT